CTCTGTCTGGCTCTCCTGTCTTGGGGGGGGGATGCTGATGCCTTTGTCTTTTGTGTGGGTACCGGGATTTGGGAGGCGAGTGGGAGGGGTGGACAGTGATGGTCTAGATATACATCTTAAAACTTGTGCTTTCCGTGTGCAACGGGGGGCTGGGGTCATTGGGATTCTTTTACTTGCAAGCAGGGGTCATTTTGTAGAAAAAGAGGTGCAGGAGCTCATTAGCATAACTTATTTGCACCCACTGGACTGTTTTGGATTGCTAGCTATGGGGTGGGAGGGGACATGCAGATCTGTTCTTGCAGAGGAGGGAGAGCTTGTACCTGAATTAAACTTGGTCTTAAAGGTGCCACTGGACTGGTTTGGACCGGGGAGGCGGGGGGGGTTCTGGAGCTTACCTGGCTGCTTCTTGCTCTGACTGAGGGCTGCTGGGAGCAGGGGGTGGGGCTTGTTGCATGTGCCCGCCCCCTGGGCTCTTTACTCCCGGAGCTCCGCTCCTGTGCGCTCCTGCAGGAAATGACCCCTGCTTGCAAGTCTGTGTTATTTACAGGGCGGTTCCATTGAGAAGAATGCTTCCAGTCTCAGAGGGGCTTGCAATGTTTCCTGTGGAGAAATTGGGATGGTGGTGGTGGGAGTGTTGGAGAGTTGTAGGGGGACACATCTAGACCTTCAGAGCTCCCTGGAAAGGGGTAGGGGTCACTTTTAGGCGCTTGCGGCTTGCTCCACCTTTGGCCCCCAGCGGCCCATAGAGTTATGATCAGAGACTAGAGGGGCGGAGGAGGATCTGCCCCCAACCTCCATGCAAACCGCCTTGCATAAGCTCATAGCGTTCATGTATAGAAGCTGTAGTGTACTGTGGGGAGATAGCTCTACATACCCAGCCTTGCCTAGAGGACCTGATTAATAGGGCACCGAGTTCTGCACAGATGATGTCTACCTGAAGTTCAGAAGGTAGGCACCCTCCCACTCCCTTATACCCATGTGCTCACCGTACATGAATATTCACCATCTCCAGGGGGCTGCCTTCCACTCCGAGAATTCCCCGGTCGAAGTGGAGAGATTTGTCCCCACAAGACCGAGCCGGGTCAGAAGGGAGAAGGCATCGTGGGTGCACTTGGACTTGAGATGCCACGCAAATCTGGGAGCTGCCCCCCACTTAAAGTCAGCCGGCGTTTTTGCAAGTTATCCTTGACGGTTTTGGAGGGAGACTGAGGCCAGGGCCGGCTCGCTCACTAGGCGAACTAGACGTTCGCCTAGAGCATGCCGGCCCTTAGGGGCGCCAAACTGTCCCCACCAAAAGCCCCCCCGCCATTGCATTTCCATGCCTAAGTGAACCCCGCCACTACCGCCCGCTGCCTCTTTGGCCGGCTAACTTCTCCCTGCCTGTCCCCTCGGCTTCCCAGTGGAGTGCAAGCGTTTCTCCTCCTCCTCGCGGCCGGGGACTGGCAGCTGCAGCAGGAGCAGCAGCAGCAGGGCCAGGGGAGCAACGGCTTGTGAGCGCCCTGCCGGTGAGCCTCTTCTCCGGGCGCCTTGACAAGGGGTGCCAAACTGCACCCGCCCCCTGCCAAAAAAGCCCTCCCCCCCCGCTGGCTCTGACCAGGTTGCCTCTTTGGCCAGCTAACTTCTCAGGAGGAGGAGCAGCAGCACGGGGGGGGGGAGAAGGGGAAATTGGTGGGCGCACGGGGGGGCACCAGAAGGGATCCTCGCCTAGGGTGCAAAATAAGCTGGGGCCGGCCCTGACTGAGGCTAGGGTTTTGGAGAACCTCCAAGGGAGGGGGGGGAGTCCTTAGTGGCCAGACAGCCATGGAGATCCTAGCTACATTCGCTTGATGTGTGAGAGCAGGACTGGCAGCCGGTGTAAGCACTCCGGGGCAAATGCCAAAGGGGGGGGCACGGGTGTGGTGTCAGCGGTGGGATTGGGACTGCCCGCTTTGTCTGTGCCTCCCACTGCTGGTGATGGGCGCTGTTGGCCAGCAGCCACCGTTGGCTCCCCTGCCTGAGAATCCAGTGAGAGTGACAGGATCCGCAGCCATCACCTGCGTACCTGCCGTTATCTGCTGTGTCTGGGGGGGGGGGAGGAAACACTAGGCATCATTTTGCGAAGGGCCCCCAAAATCTAGAATGGGCACCATAAGAAAGGTAGATTGGTTTTAAAGCCAACCCATTTTTTTCCCTCCTTATAAAAAAAGGTCCTTCACAGGTTTGGGAAGTTGCTCAGACCAAGGGAAACGAAGCACCCTACCTATAAACCACCGAGTACTTCGCTCTTCGGCAGCTGATGTTGATGGGGATGTTATGGAAAATCCGAAAAGATAGGGATGTGTTCCCCAATCCCACCAGGGCTTTATACACCCAGAAGCAAGTTACGGTTTATGTATCCAGAAGCAAGTTTCGGTTTATGTATCCAGAAGCAAGTTTCGGTTTATGTATCCAGAAGCAAGTTTCGGTTCAGCCGAATCTTCGTCGGTTTTAGCGCCCTTCCCATTATCGCGGGGCAAGTTAGGGAGGAAAGTCTGGTGTTCCGGTTTTCCCAGTAGGTTGGTTGTTAACTGGTCTTCCTTTTCTCCCCAATCGCGCTCATTTTTGTCTGCCCCGACGTTTGACAGGCAATGGTGAGTATTGCCCTTTTCTTTCCTCTTTATTTTGATTCTGGGTTCACGGTTCTTTCCAGCGGGCCTGAAAGGGGCACCCAGGCTGGGGCTTGGCTATGGTCTTGCTACGAGTCTGAAGTATTTAACTGGAAGCACAAGAAGCTGGTGAATCTGTCATTAACCAGGTCTCAGCTCTGGTCCGGTGGTTATTGGAGTCCCAGGACAGAGGGGCCTTCTAGAAGCATCCGACCATCAATGGTTAATTAAGAAAAAAAGTATTGCTGATCTAGAGGAGACCTTGGTCCAATCCCGCAAGGCTTTTCATAAATTTCTGCGGAGGATGCATCTATCAATGACTATAAATCAGGATAGTGTAACAGAGACTCCATGTATAGGAGCAGTCTACCCTGGCAAACAAAAAAGGTCTTCATGCCATGCCCATGGACTTCTCAGGTGCTCCTGCAGGAAATGGCCCCTGGTGGCTCTTACGTCAAGCACGTTTGGCCACTTCTGTCCTAAAATAAGGGCAAGAGAGACCCTCTACTGTTGCCGGCTGTTTTCTCAGCAGATTGTTCCATTTACTCTTCTTTGCTCTAGCGGTGCTGTAAAAACGGTCCCCATTGATGGTAGTGGTAGTCTTTTTATTATTATTATAAGATTCTTATTCGTTTTTCCCTGTTCTATAGGACATTGTAGGAAAGGAAGGACATAGGGAAGGGGATCACGTCACATGTTAATCTGCTGTTCGACCTCTGTCTATAAGTTTGAACTCGACCTTCCATTCCAATGTATTAAAAAAAGGAGGAGGAGATTGGATCTATACCCTTCACTACCCGAAGGAGTCTCAGAGCGGCTTGCAGACTCCTTCCCCTCCCCACAACAGACACCCCTGTGAGGTAGGTGGGGCTGAGACAGCTCTTGACGGAAACTGCGCTTTTTCAAGGACAGCTCTGACAGAACCACGGCTTGCCCAAGGTCATCCAGCCAGGTGCAAGTGGAGGAGTGGGGGAATCAAACCCCGTTCTCCCAGATTAGAGTCCACACACTTAACCGTGACACCAAACTGGCTCTCAGTGTGCCTGCACATGAAAGCTCATACCTTGAACAAACCTTTGTTGGTCTTAAAGGTGCCCCACTGGACTCAATTTGTTCTAAAGGAAGGAAGAGACACACACACACATGCAAAAGTGCCAATACATTGATTTCCAGTCACAACACTAAAGTTCAGGTCATTTCACTAAGACCTACAATATTCCAGGGCTTTTCTCACTTGATAACAGATGGGTTACAACAAACACGTGACTCCCTGTTGACCAACAAACACAGTTAACTCTATAATTACTTTTAAGTGTTGTTCAGCTTGTTAAACCCAACACACCCCCCCCAGGAGCTGCAGGC